AGGTTGGAAGTTATAGTTTTGAAGTCAATTTCCCGATCAACGGCTCTTTGGACAATATAAGAGATCTTCCATATGAATAGGGGAGGTGTCTTACATTGTACTCCGTACGGATACGGAGTAGATATGCACTATATTATTGTAGCGCCAACACCAGCCCCCCGGTTATTGACACTTGTTCTTTAAAAGGCTATGTATGCAATGACGAAAGTGTTCAATGCGAAGGCAAACCCGCCACCCAGATCTCTTATCTGAGATTACCCCTTGCAGATGACCCCGGATTTTACAGGGTATCTGAGTTCAGCGCCTCGATCTATCTATGGCCGTATATCTATAGATCTACTGACGGTCACGATTCCCAGTGAAGATGTGTAGAAAGTGGAGAATGTTTCTTCACAATGAACTTAGAGAAAAGCTCAATAATATTGGTTGGGGAAACTGTTGCTAGCTGCTCCACTTACGGCGGTGATCGGGAGGCCGACACGGTAATAAATGAATATCATTCCACCTCGGATGGGGTATGTATTCAGTCAGTGTAGCTTATTGCGTAACTAAACAGAATACAGAATTCAGCTATGGCTGTTCAGAACAGCAGGAGATATTATCCCCGTTACTCCGTAACTTAAAATAAATATCACCATCATCGACTCCGGGCTAGTTATGTAGGTCAGTTACCCACCCGGGCAGTCAGGTAGTCCCCGGCCAATTAAACCAAATTAGTCATAAGATACAGTACACTAGCCGTTTCAGGTAATCTGGTACATTACCGATCATGACGTTCGCATCCTGCAAGCGGTGTGTGGAGGGAGGTTATGAACTATATTAACTACACTGCTATATACGCTTTCAGGTAATTCTGCTTGTTATTTTTCAATGACTTGACCGTGATAGTCCAAGATCTACAAATTAACCCATCAAGTTACATAGTACTATACTATTGAAATCTCCATGGATAATTACTCGGGATCAGCTCGGGGCCAAGATCCGCTAGGAAAACGATCACGTGGGTAAATACCGTAACAACGCTTATCCCAAACCGGAAGCGTTGCCATCTCATACCCCGTCTTCATGAGCCCTTGCCCCTGCTGTTTCTTGACTTATCATTATTCGATCGCAATATTATTCTCCCTGATCTGAACCCTTTCCTCCCAGTCTTCAGATTAACAAAATTTTATAAAAAAAAGAGGGAGCTGCACTCCTTCAAGTGACTCGACAACTTTCTGCCAAAGCGGGACATCATCCGAGGGTGGACTCCTGCGTGTGAACCCGCCCAAAAACCGCCATCCACTCAAAAGTCCACTCATCGAGGGGCACCGACTGTCTCAAAGTCGCATTCTTATTTTCTTCGGATTTTATCTGTGTGAGCTTCGCGCTTCAACGCGGGACTCGAAGAAACCCTGTAATCCATAAGCCCCTCGGGTTTGGCGTGACATCGCGCAAGACCGGACAGGGAACTAGGATATCGATTCGTCAAACCTCGACTTGGAATTCTCATCATTTTAAACACCAAAAATTAACACTAGCAGTTTGTCACCATGACGGGTGCCACACCTATTGATATTTCCACTCGGCAGACGACCTCGGTCTCGCCGCCGGGTCAACAGGCGTCTAATCTGACCTCGGCGCTGCAAAGAGCGGGCAACGGCGATCGTACAGGCAGCTTTTCACATCTTCCCGGGGGAGGACTCGGCGTGTTCAAGGCACCACCACCTCGTAAGGACTCGATCGGAGCAGCTACAGCACAATGGGGGAACGGGACGAAACCTATCTCAATGTCGGGATCTGCCCGCGACAAAGGTCGCCGTGAGTCGCTCGCAGGAAGTTTGGTGGGTGGTATGAGCTGGGGTGGTGTATCCGTTGGGAGTTGGATACGTGATGAGTGAGTGGCCTGTTCGGACCTAGAAGCCGCGGGGGGACCGCCCACCGTGTGTTGCTATTGTCGCACTGCATCAAGAGCTGACCAAGGAAAATTTCCGCAGTATCATAATGACCGGCACGTCACCATTTACCTTCCAGTCGCCATCTTTCCATTCCTCATCGTATCTCCCGAAGCTGGAAGCGAATTTCATGCGAGACTTTTCGTGCTGTGGTGTGACGTTACCGACGCTCCATGACCTATTACAACACTACGAAGAAGCCCATGCCACCAAGTCGCCCAATCAAGGCCACCGCCCAAGCCAGGGTGAGAATCGAGCTGCCTTGGCGGCTGCTGCAATCGCACAGCAACAGAACCAACAGCATGGCAGCCAAGGACGTGGCCTGCAGCCCGACCGGACCCTGGACATGCAGCGCAAATTGGGCCAGAATCCATCACCATTGCAGCACGCAGATCTAGACACAATCGATGACATGGAGTTGGACGACGCCCTGGGAGACGGAGACGGCTCAGCCTCGCAGATGTTCTCTTCTCAGCTGCATGAGGGCGGACAGGGTGGATATGGTAACTCCAACCAGCAGCAGTTAAATCTGGGTATGCTTCCAAGCCACCAAGGATTCAGCACACCCTCGCAACCTGGTACACCGATCGGATCTGGACGACCTCTTTCACTTCAGAACAATCCGACTGTCTCTTCTGTCAACACCCCAACTTTGATGGCCAACCCGCTTCAAAATTCGCAATTCCGAAATACGCCCGATTCATCCGGACCAGGGACCCCGGCCGAAATTGACGAAAGCATGATGGGTGGTTTCGGTGATCTCAGTATGCAAAATAACACCATGGGCCAAAACCAGAATCAGTTTGGCCGCTTCAATGGGAACAATAATGACATGGTCGATCTTTGCATCGATGAACCGGCTAAGCGGCTGTTCAGCCCCAGTGGCGGCATGGGTTCGCCCAACGCCCACTTTAAGCTCAGTGGAGCTCAATATGGCCCGAATAGCGATATTGCACGACGGATCCGCGAACAACAATTGCTCGCTGGGGTCCCCGACACCACCGTTATTCTTCCCAACGAAGAACCCAAGCCGTTCCGATGCCCCGTTATCGGCTGTGAGAAGGCATACAAGAACCAGAATGGGCTCAAATACCACAAAGCTGTAAGTTTGACCTGATACCCCCTCCGAAGTGTCTTATTTTTCTAACTGCTGCTTCTTTCATTACAGCATGGCCATAATAACCAGCAACTTCATGACAATGCCGATGGTACATTCTCGATCGTCAACCCAGAGACATCAGCGCCATACCCCGGCACGCTTGGCATGGAGAAGGAAAAACCCTACCGCTGCGAGGTGTGCGGCAAGCGCTACAAGAATCTGAACGGACTCAAGTACCATAAATCACACTCACCACCCTGCAACCCGGATTTCCAGCTTGGAGGTCGTAACCTCGCCCTCGGCGGTGGAGTCATGCAAGGGCAGAACATCAACGTTGCTGGAGCTGGCCTCCCTGGAATTGGCGAAGAAGGCCTTCTGTGAACCCATGAACAAATATGTCATTATGTCAATACATAATTCCCAGCTAATTGATGCGAACGATCTCGACGGCTTTCGGGGGTGAGAGCACTCCTGCACACACGATGTCATGATTTTGAATTGGGCCCGGTGACTTTGGAGTTATTGCTTTTCTTTTTTCTCTCTTCGAAAGTTGTTCCCTCTGGCTTATTGACTGGGCTTTGTGATGCCTTTTTGCTTTTCGTTCTGCTATCTGGTAGATCCTACCGGCATGATCGTTTTAACCCCCCACGCTTGATATCCCTCGCCGCTTCCAGATCCTATCTACTTGGCCTGGTAATAGAGCAATTCTTGAGCGATCAAGACCCCCCCTCTCAGCAAAGAGCTGTCTAGAAGAATCTGCTTGCACTTGCCTGCTTTTACTCTCTGTTCATCTTGTTTTGCTTCTTCATACGGCATTCGCGTGTTCCATGGGCGATAAACTAGGGGAATTGGATACCTCCCAAAATCCCCCCTCATACTGCTATTCATTTGCTTTTGCTGCGTTCTTGCAAGGACTGGCTTCGTGCCTTGTTTCCGTGTTCGCGTCCCTGTTCATTGCGTTCATGTTTTCGCTCATGTGCTTCTTTCAACGACGACAGTCGCTCACGCGCTCACCTGAAAATGCCGCCTTGAACACCAGGAACCGAACACCACCAAAAAGTTGGCGAAATGGGATTTGGTTGGGTTTTGACTGGAATCATGTGCGAGGTACGAAATTCTGGGGTTGGTTATTCTTAGACCTCTCCTCTTTCACACCCAGTCGGTGTTCGTTTTTTTCTTCTTCCCTGTGTCTCTACCTAGGGACAGGATAGGGACTGGATCTGGGATCTGGAAATCTTTAAAAAAAAAGTGCGGTTTCTCGGCGTCGGATCATTGTAGATATGGATTTTTTTTATACGAGTTGGCTCTTTTGGCCCAATGTCACTTATCTTCTTTTTCCCCTTGTCTTGCTATTCATTCGATTTTCTTGTCTTCATTTTCGGTTACGTCTGTTGCTGTAGATCCAGGTTCTGGACTTAGACCTAGTACATAGAAAAATTGGCTTTTTAGCAATTACTATTCAATTAATGGCGTTTTTGTTTAAAACCCTCTGAGCTGATGGCTGGAGATAACTCTTAGGACAGTGGAAGTTGTTCAGAATCATAGTTTCATTTGTGCTTATTTTGAAACTACTAAGATCGAATCTTTCAAGCTAGTACAAAACCAACCTCGGAAGGCATGGCATGAGCAAAGAGAAGCATGTAAAAAAGAAGCAGAAGCAGAACCCATCCTCACTTGTAAGCGCCGTGAGCCATTGGAAGCTCAAAATCAAAGAAAAGCGAAGCAAAGACCCGGTTGCTGACCATGTCGATATTTGGGTAGTGAGAATCATGAGAAATATTTCGCTTGCACAAACCGTTTCGAGGGCGTGAATGAAAAGACGTAGGGATTGGTTTTCGTTTGTGCCATGAGATAGAGCACAAGATGAGCAGAAAATTGTTACAGAACGAGGAAAAAAAAAGATGTCGTCAATGGAAATCGGAAGATGGGTTGAAAAAAACATAGAGTAATGGTGTCGGTCGTTTCGATTACCATTCGAATTCACCTTGACCCTTGTGGAAGACGTATCTAGTAAGGTTAGTATATGCAGAACATGGCAGACTGGAATTGACTTACTCTTTGCCACCAGTGGTCAGGATGCCATCCTTCAAGGTGCACTTCCACTTGTTCTTCACGCGCTGGACCTTGTCGTATGTGCAAAGCATAACCTGGCCCTCCGATTCATCTGCGTCATGGTCATCAGCAACGAGGTCATCTGGATCATCCAGGTCCGAGTTGATGGCGTCTTCGTCTTCCTCCTTGACATCTTCTTCTGCGCCATCAAACTGGCCAGTGACGCGAGGGGTAGATGAAGTTGACTCGGTGGTAGCGTTTTGGTTGAGGGGCGCGGTAAGAGCCACACGGCGAGCGACCTTGGCAGAGGACTCGTGCTCTTCCAAGGGACGAAGGAGACCTCCACCCTCATACTGAGACATGCGCTGCTTGAGATGCTCGCGCAGAAGTCGGTCACCTTCTCCATTCTCGGCAGCTGCTCTGCGGCGTGCTACCTCTGCCTTCCAGTCGGTCATCGGGTCACCTCCACCATCGGTCTGTCCAGGACCGATGTGCGGGTAGTTCTGTTCTTGTTTGATTGGTGGCATTTGTCCGTGAGCATTGGGGTGCATCTGATATCCTTGTCCAGCTTGGCCCTGGGCTTGCATTTGGTGGACGGAGTTCGCAGCTGCGGCGCCGTATTTCTGGTGAAGCGCATTTGCAGCACGGTCGCGAGCCGACTGAGGGTTGAGACCATGCGGGGGCATGGGTGTGGTCATGTGCGGCATTCCGGGTTGTTGGCCATTGGTTCCTGGCTCGGTCTTGATGCGAGGCCCGCCCATGGGGGGCATGGTGTGCGAGGGCGCAGCCTGAGGAATTGAAACAGGCGGGGGAACATATTGCTGCTGGGGTTGTTGTTGTTGTCGGGGGGCATTGGAGGGGACAGTAGCCGTGGGGAGGGGAACTGAGTGCTGCTGAGGAGGCTGAGGAGCAGGATCCCAGGGGAAATGAGCGACGTTCACAGAAGAAAGCTTATGTTGCCAGGTCTGTATAATAATTCCAAGGTCAGTATATACGTATCCAGGTTGTATGATATAATCAAGTATGATGAGACAGAATCTTGGCGGTCTAAAAGCGCCTAAGCGGGTAAGAGCGGCACATATAAAGGAAGACTCATAAGCCGGTGTTCCCCCATAAGCACCGCCTCCCGCACCACCTCGACCATCCCCGCTTTTGGGGAAACCTTCCACACCAGACTTTGACAACCCAAGACGGACAATATAGAGTAGGAAAATATCGTACTAACCTCACGCAGATCATGCAGGGTCTGCTGGTCGACACCGCTTTCCTCAAAGTCGACCTGGGAAGCATCACAGACCTCCTGGATGACCTTCTCGAAAACCGCACCCTATGAGACCATGAGTTAGCTCTCATCTCAGATCAAAGAAACTTCCCAACAGGAATCAGGATAACACAGTTATAATTGAGGAGTAAACACTCTATGCGAGCGACGACTGAGGATGAACAGGGTGGTTGTCGGAGAAGAAGCTGGGAACTTACCACTTGCTGGTTGGACATGATTGCTGAGCAAGAACGACTTGATGAGCTGGTGGATGAAGATGCGAAGGGTGCAAAGAGCAAGCAAGAGGGTGACCGGTGAAATGTACTGGGTAACGATAGCTTGGCTAGGGTGTAAAGTGCTCCGTCGCAACTATCAAGTTGCCGGAGTGCTGGTCGATCACGCCCACGAATGACGCAATATCAAGCAATTTATGAATACTACGTATTCACTCAGGTAGAAAGAAGAATAAAGGCCTTAAAAGACAAGTGACGCAAGTGCAAATCTCAGAGAAAAACGAGACGGTGAGTTTCGCGATGGGTTGGCGAAGGTGAAAGTGACGGCTCTGCGGTCGAAATCCCACTGTATCCTGGAGGCTTAGTCATCGCGCGGCCAACCCACATGGGGACTTTTTTAAGTAGAAAAGAAGTAAATCGAGGAAGCAGAGACAAGATACAAAGGAGAAAATGGATGGGCGAAATGAATTAAAGCAACCGTAAGAATGGCATTTGAACAATTTGTACAGCCAGCTTACGGGAAGTAGATACAAAGAACACCATCAAAACACCGAAATCATCACCAAAAAGAACCATTACACCGAAATTAATGTCCCAGCCCATCAATGCTTTCAATATCACCATGAACCAGGGTATCCAACGAAAAAAAGAAGAGGAAAAAAAGGTAATGTTGCAGACGTCTAGCGGATAGTCATAGACTTGGTCATCTGAGCCTTGCTTCCGACACCACCCTCACGAGCAGAGGAGGCACTGCTACCAGCCTTGCGCTCAAAGATCTTCCAGAACTTCAAGCTCTCATCAGCAGCAGTGGTGGCCAGCATCTGTCCATCAGGACTGATAGCACTGTGGAGGACACGGGTCTCGTGAGCAGGGATCTCAACGTTGCGAACCAGAGTCGGGTAACTCCAGATACTGAGAGAGTTGTCGGGGAAGCCGCTGGAGCTGACGATCTCGCGGTAGTGGTTGCTCCAACGCAGGGAAGTGACTTGAGAGCCAGTGTCAATGCTGTTTGTGCGAGCACCGGTGGTAGTGTTCCAAAAGTGAATGTGACGGTCGTAAGAGCCACCGCCAGTGGCAAGGAGATTGGATTGCCAAGGGCACCAGCTCAAGGCCTTGACGGCAGCACGGTGGTTGGTCTTGGTGAACTTGGGCGCACTCAGAGAGCGAGCATCCCAGATGTTGACGAGGTTGTCGTTTCCACCAGTGGCTAGCTGAGCGCCGTCAGCGCGCCATTCTAGACCGCAGACCTCAGAAGTGTGGGAGACAAGCTCAGCGATCTTGTGCTCTGCGATGCGAACATCGTGGTTGAAGACAAGGCCACTACGGGCTCCAGTGGACAGAGTGTGCTTATTCCAGCCCATAACACCAACGCGGGAGTCGTGGCCGTACATGCTGCGAAGCTTGGAACCTTCCTCAACATCCCAGATCTGGACCTCACCAGTTCCCAAACCAACACCAACGTAGGCACCATCACCGCTCCACTTCACGCTGCTCACGTAAGTGTCGGGCGAGGTTTCCAAAAGACAGTTGACGGAGCCAGACTCAGCAGACCAGACGTATACATTTCGCTCCAGACCGATGGCGACCTGGTTGCCAGAGCTCCAGTCGAGCAAATTGAGATAGTAATCATCCAAAAGACCTGGGGCATCCAAGACCCGCTCTGGTGCAGTCTGAACCCGGCGACGGAACTGAGCAGCTGTGGACTTGGCAGGGCGGAGGGGGCGGTTATATTGAGCACGGAGATCAATAGGCTTCGATGACTCGGGAGGGGGAGGCTTGAAAGCGAGGATGCGAGTGTTCATGTTTACCCCACAAGCTTCAGCCAGAGAAGATTTGTAGGCCACGGCGTCAGGAGCCGGGCGTGTATAGGTAGGAGGCTCGTTGTCATCCAGACCCAAGTTCTCCAAAGCAGCAGTAAGGTCGTCATCTGATCCACGTGCACCAATGTCAAAAGCGCTGGCCGCTGAGGCGAGGACTGACGATCCGTCGGTACTACCACTCTTAGGGCGTTGTTTCTCTTCCGGCTTTGCTGCCCCGCTAGTGGCTAGACCCTCACTTGCGCTCCGGTTGGGAATAAAACGGTCCCCAGCGTTATGAGGAATGCGCACAGTTGTCTTGCCAGCACGAGCGCGGGTAGGAATCTCCCGGCGGACGTGCTCCTTGGAAGGAGTGTTGGCTGTTGTGGCACTTGTACCAGTCAAAGTCCAGTCCGAGACACCGAGCTCCAAGTGCTTGGGTGACTTGCGGGTGCGGGTGCTGGCAATGTTCGACTTGTTTGACTTGGGAGAGTCACGGTGGGTTGTGCGGGCTGCTTTCGAGATGGACTTGGCGAAGTGGGCGGAGAGGTTTCCACCGTATACTGACTTGGCTTGATTGCGGCCAGCATCAGACTGGCGAGGAGGGGTGAAGGGTGACGAGTGGCCGCTTGCGCGGGGGTTTGGCGAAGGGCTCAGAGGCATACGGCCTCCAGCAGTCTTGGAGGAGAAGAGTCCATGGTGACTCTTCACCGGAGTCGATGCAGTAACAGAAGCCATAGTAATATATGATCAAAGTAGATGTAATGGGACCAACCCCAATAGAAGATGCAATACGAATCGATGCAAAGGTTAATGTGAGATCAACCAACAGAAAAGTATGCAGACAATTGAGGATAGTGAGATTGAGGTATGAAGGAAAGGAAAAGGAGCTCAGGAGAAAATCGAATAAATAGAAGGTAGGTACTATACTCGTTGCTGAAAAGTATGAGGCTCTCCCCATAGCAACGGTTACCTGAGCTACATCGCGCACTAATCCATATTGGGACTAACGTTGACATACCGCGCTTGCCTTCTTTAGTCAAAATTGTCTTGGCATTTATTTCATGACAATTGCCTGATACGTTGAGGCAAGCACAAAGAACCTGAAAGCCTATACAAAAAAATATCTTCCATAGGATCTTAGAGAAGAAAATGTCATGACCAATTCTGTCAGTTGCGGATATAATTCAAGGCCCCCTTTTTTGCCACTGGGATGGCGCATCCATCTCCTCTCTTGCAACCCCCACCACGTTCCTCTCAGTTCCACCGAGACCCACCACAACTTCTCCCTGTCTGGCCGGGATCTTTGAGGGTCTCTAACCCGATATCCTGTTGTACTTCCTCTATAGCCATGCAGGACGCCTTTCTGATGCCCGCCAGTCAGACTGGCGGTCGCCGGACCAGTGCGGACTATCGACCCGGCATAAAAAAGGCACAAGGCCATGTCCCTGCGTGCCTGGTCAATGCCTCGGTGACGTACTGCAGCAATGATCGCATTTATGCATTCGGGGGGTTTGACCAGTTTACTGATGAAGGTTCACATACTCCTTAACCGATAATCTCTAAAATAGCACTAATGATTTTTTTTTAGTTTATAACCACGTGCTTAGGCTGGACTTGGAGACTCTCCGTTGGGAGCTCGTGGACAACTATGGCGATATCCCCGGAGTTCGCATGGGTAACGATTCTCTCTTCTCATTCGTCCATGTTTAATGATAGACACTCTAACTAAAATTTTTATTTTTGATAGGACACACGGCGACATTATACCAAGGGGATAAATTGATTGTGTTTGGAGGCGAAAATGAACATCGTGAATACCTTTCTGACGTCGTCATCCTCGATCTCAATACCTTCACCTGGGCACTTCCCGAAATTCGCGGGTCGATCCCTCGCGGACGAGCCCGCCATGCTGCTGTCATTCATGAAGATAAGCTTTTTATTGTGGGTGGAGTGGCAGGCGTAGGAGGCGTGACAGGGGAGAAGAATGTGATTTTGGATGATTTGACCTACTTGGATCTACAAACATGGACCTGGTCTCGCACATGGAGCTTCACTGCTCGCTTTGACCATACAGCTTGGGTTTGGGGAACCCGGCTCTGGATATTTGGTGGGTTGGGCCCAAACATGGAACGGACGACTGATATCTGGTGGCTCGACCTTAAGGGATCTCCATCGCTTGCCGGAAATACCACTCCCCAAGGTAGAGTCAACTCCCTGGGCATCAATCTTTCTGCGGCTCATCTTCCAGACTCCATCTCTAGCAGCCCTCATCAAATGTCTCCCCGCTCCGGAATATACGCCGCCAATTCAGGCAGTGTGCAGGTACGCAATTTGGGCCGACGGAAGCCAGTTGCGCCTGGTGCCATATCTTGTCTTAGGTTTGATTCTGGTCCTCATGTTCCCTCCCTCTTTTCTGGTACTCATTTTCATTCATTTGCCTCTGGTGTCCTGCTCGACTTAATCACACCCTCGGAGACCGTACGGTCGCATGATTGTAACCTGTCGGCTCTGGACCTGAACTCGCTACGCTGGCAACGGCTGGCTGATGGCCAAGAGATCTTCCGGCCTGGCTATCGATGGCACTACTGCACTGTCAATGACGCGGGGACCAAAGCATGGCTCTTGGGCTGTAGTCTTGATGTCGCGAATGTACCGGGAGGTAGCGACGAGAATCATATGAGTGAAGTCTTGACTATCGACCTGGAAAAGTATGGTTTGCTAGGTAACGGCCTGTCGGCAGAACCTCCTGAACAAGGTGCACCTTGGCCGTCTGATCAAATTGGCTCTCAGGTTTCCGGGCTTGGAACCGATCTAGCCGCTGTTTTTGACAACCCCCCTGAATCTGGGAGTGGCACGGACTTTGTTATCACTGCTATTCGTGATGACCACGACGGGTCCGTTTCGGAAGATATGGACGATACACCGTCCGTTTCCCCAACCCAGGCCCAGCCGACCTTTGTGGAACAGAACCCCTGGACTTCGGAGCCCATCCATGTCCACCGTATCATTCTCCAGCTCAGGTGGCCACATTTCAAGCGCTTGTACTCCGCTCAGATGGCTGAGTACCACACTAAGCGGATGCACATTCCCGAGCCTTATTCTGTCGTGCGCGCGTTTCTCTATTATCTATACACAGACAGTATCGCCGGTCATCCAGATTATTGCTCGAGTGTTATTGACGTGGCGGGTATGCTTGTGATGGCT